TCCCTTCCTTCCTTCCTCATCTGTTTTTGCTGGCTGTTTTGCAGGAAAGCGATGGGGAGAAGAGTGATTACAACCTGATTGTGGACGAGGTACGTGGCCAATCCGTGGGCAGGTTTGCCTCGTGCTGCAGGCGAGAGCAGCTCTCATGAGGTTTTAGCGCTAAATTATGCAGGAGGTTCAAAGCTGCTGGATCTGAGGAGGTTTCAACATCCGCTGCTTTTTTTCTCCATGCAGCGTTGCCCTTTTTCCTTTTTTAAAATCTTAATTACATTCTGGGCTCAGTCCAGGGCCAGGCGAGCCTTTTCGCTCTGACTTCTGGCAGGATGAAAGCGATGGCTCTTTTGACCTGGGAATGCTATGGCTCTCTCGGTGGATTTTCTCCCTGCAGGACTGTGGAAGCGTTTGAATTCTCCCTGCGCTGCCCTAGAGAACGTGATCTGGGTGAGAGTTTGCCTCTGGATTCTCCCCTTCCACCAACCTGTGCCCCTCAAATACCCACTTGCAGCCTCTGGAATCTGCTTGGATGGGGATGAGAGCCACACCAACCCTCCTGTAAACTCTGAGATGGACTTTACACATTTAAAAATAAACATTAAAAGTTTTGCTTGAAACCTCTCCCTGGAAATAGGGGGAAAAAAGAAGAGGAAAACCTCAATCCTCCCGTCCTGCTTTGTTTTCCTACCCACTCTCTCTCTCTCTCTCTAAATCTCCCCCCCACCGCAAAAAACAAATAAATATAGTTCCTGGATTTGCACATGTTTTACATGGTGAGATTGCATTTGCAGGACTCTGTGCAATTCTGGGAACTGTATTTTAAAAGGGTCATGGAGAAGCTTGTGGCAGGCCGGAGGAGAATTACAGAACCGTAACAGGACGGGAAAACCGGTTTGGGAATGTTCAAGGATCTGGATATGTTTTGCTTGCAAAAAAGGAAAACAGAGGGGAGATACACAGCCCTGAAGTCTGGATAGTCCCTCCTTGGTACCTTTAGGAAAACTGTTCAGACTCAGTTTTTGGGATCAGAGCATGGTACATTTAACCTGCCAGTTTTAATTTGGTTGAGGTTCAGTTTTCATTCTCATTTGAAGTTGGATTTTCATCCGACGCACGTGGGCGCGTGGCGGTGTGTCTCAGTTTCTTCCGGTGGTGAACCATCGGGGCTGGTTGCCATTTGGGCTGTAGATAAATATTTTGATGGCTGGATGACGTGCCATCGAGGCAGCGTCAACTCTGTTGGAAAAAATAATAAACCTATCATGGTGGTGTGCAAATATCTGAATGCGTGCCGCTTGCAAGGGGGGGGGTGGACCTTCTCTCTGTTGGAACTGCAAACAGGAGAAGAGCCACCGAGTCGCAGTTTAAAGAAAAGAAATTAAATGGAGTGTTAGGAGGGGTTTCCAGACGGAAAGGCAGTGGAAGGGTCTGACTGGAATAGGAGTGACTCCGCTTCTCTGGAAGCTCGGGGGCTGGATGGCAACCTGTCAGGGATGGTGCACAGTATTGGATTCAGGAGGGTTGGACTAGATGACCTCTAAGGCCCCCACCAATCCATGATTCGGTAGACACTGGGTTACCCCCTTTTTTGGGTGTGTCCCATCCATTCATTCATAAATCAGCCAAAAGAGCTGGACTTCACCTGTCCAACTAAGCCCCCCAAAACCCAGACCTCATCGCGGTTAAAACCAGCCCATCTTAGCCAACGATGTAACTACAGCTCTTAGCTCTTTTTCCCATCTGGTTAAATACACCGGTGGGAACCCAGCTAGTGGGTGACCACCGGCAATCGCAACCCTTTCCTGCTGGACAGGTGAGAAGCCAATGTGGTGGATAGGACTGCTATGGAATTTTTGCAAAAAAGAAAAGAAAAGGAAAATGGAAAGGAAAAGTATGTTGGTTTTACATTCTGCAGAAGTGTGTCCAAAACAGTTTCCTCCGTGGCTCCCAAGAGGATCTGGAATGGTTAAAAAAGGAAAAAAGAAAGCTTCGTCTAGGCATCAAAGCAGCCACGGGGTCTGCAGACACTCAGAACTGCTGTTGGAGGTTTCCTCAAGGGCCAGGCTGGAAAATGAAATGGGTTTGTGGGTGCCTGTGGATTCACGGGGCGCTGAATCCCCGTGTGGCTCCAGGAAAAACAGGCCGGGAGCAATGCATGTTTTAAGAAATGGGAATTCAATATCTTCTGTTGGAAACTGCGGTGGAGAGGAATTAGGAAGCGGGGGGCGGGGGGGAAATAACACCATGCCCAAATCTCTCTCGCAAGTTTTCAGAGGTGTTCTCTTTTGTCAAAGGAGGCTTCTGGTTTTCCACCTTATCTTGGGGAGCTTGAGAATTTCTTTCAAATTCCTCGGTGGGGGTTTGAATTTACGTTATCATGGGAGTGGTGGATGGGGAAACTCTGTCTGTTAGATATGTTTCCATCACTCTGACCCACCCACCCACTCCACAGCTGTTCCCATTTCCCTGCCTCCTGGAAGAGAGTCTCTCCTGAGGTCTTTCCATAGGACTGAATGGAGGCTTGGAAGGCTGCAGAGTGCTGGAGAAATAAGTGTAATGAAAGGAGGGGTATTCACAACCCAACCCTTGCGCACATCAGTGCCATATAAAACACTGCACTTCACAACTTCCTTCTTTCCTTCTGTCCGTCCGTCAAAAGTGACCTTCTCTGTCATCAAATTGAATGAGCAATGACGGGGAAAATGCAAATGAATTTTTCTGCAGGGCACCTTTAAAATTCACTCTTTCGCCATCTCAGGCTACCGTTGTAGGGCACGACTAAGAGTCTCCCTTTCCCCCGCCTGCCACCACCTTTGTAAAATTGGTCTGCTTCGTGTGGTTTTTCACTCCCACCCGTTCAAAGCATTCCTTCGCTTTTATTTTCGCTGGCACCATGGTTGTCTTTTTTAAACAGAGACTCCACATGGTTGGGCTCCCTTTATTCTGTTTACACTGGTTGGAGGGGAAGAAAGATGAACCGGAAGACGTGCACGGCCTTTCACACATTCCCCAAAAGTTGTCAATCTCCCATTGTTTGGTAGATCTCCAGATGTTTGAATTCAACTTCCAGAAATTCCAGAAGACCCCAGGAAATTCTGGAGGTTAAGATCCAACACCTATGGAGGGCTACCAGTTGGGGGGAAGCTGAATTGGGTACTGGATTTTGCATGCCCTAGATACATGATTTCCTCATGTCTTGAGTTCCACCACACTTAATCCCAGGAAACCACCTAAAACTGCAGCCTAAATTTGTATTCTACGGGTAACGAAATGTTTGCAAGAAAACAACCAAGCTCAGAGAACCCCAAGGACTCCACAGTTCCTTGAAAAATAAGAGGGAAGGGTTACTTGCGATAATGCAGAATTCGTTCTAAATTCCATTGATGTTGCATTTTCTTATGTTGCATATTTTAAGATAAGGCTTATCACACAGAACGGGGCGGCGGCGTTATTCTCTGTAGCCCCAGAGGGCAGGACCAGAACCAAAGAGGTACAAGGAAGGAGTTTCCGGTTAGACATCAAGTGACACTGAGCTATCAGCCGGTGGAACAAGCCACCACTAGAAATGGTGCTTTGCTGGAGATCTTCCATCAGAGGCCGGATGGTCATTTGTCAGAGGTACTTTAATGCAGTGTTTCTCAAACTTGGCAACTTTAAGATATATGGACTTCAACTCCCAGAATTCCACAAACGCTGGCCAGGGAATCCTGGGAGTTGAAGTCCATGCATCTTAAAGTTGCCAAGTTTGAGAAACATTGCTTTAGTGCATGCTAGCTTTAAACCAATGTCCTCTAGTGACTCTTGCAAGCCCGTGATTCTACAGCAGCCAAGTCCAATGGTTTGTTTTAAAAAAATCTATTTTTTGCAACGTTTCCCTCTTGTGCCAAATATGTCGGCAAACCTGAAGCCCCGAATCCTTTCTTTTCCTTCCAGGACCCTCCTTCTGAGCACGGGAGCCCCCTTTGCACATCTGCTGCCCACCTCCTGCCCACCCAAAGGGACTTCGCAAACAGCCCAGCCTCGCTGGCTTCCAGTCGGAGCACCACGCCTCTCAAAGGCAAGGATCCTAATTTGGTAAGCGGCGGGGTGGTTGGAACTCAGTGGCTGGGCCCACGCGACACCCACCCTCCTTGAACTGAAGGGTCTACCTCTACCGTCCGAGTTTGCAAACGCTAAGCCACAAAACACCAGACCCAGGTTACTATTATCCAAACTGGCTAAGCTGTGCAAAAGCGTCTCTGAGTTCTTGACTTGACCTCGTGGCCCAAAGCAGCTTTTCCCAGCTGGACGCCTTCCAGACCCTTGGGACTACAGTTCCCATCAGGCCTAGCCAGCAGGGTGAGGTTGCCTGTCGTTGAAACCTGAGGACATTCTGTCCAGCCTTCCCAGAGACATTTCACAGCTGCTGACCGTCCTGCCTTCGGTTAACCTGTGGAACTCCCTGCCGCCTGATGTGATGCTGGCTCTAAGCTCAGTTGGCTCTTAGGTTTAAAAAACGGAGGCTTTAAACGGATTTTCCAGAGGAGTAAAGCGATCGCAGCAGTAAGGGTTATGTGGAACCTCCATATTCAGACTGTTTCTATCCTGATCTGGTTGTGGGTTCCTCTCAAGTATCTGTTTGGCCTCTTAGAAAATGGGAAGCCTGGCTAGAAGGATAATTGGCCTGCTTCCTCCAGCAGGACGTGTCTTACTTTGGTGGTGCTAAAGGGCCAATGACTAAAAAATTACTGAGCAACAGTTAAGTGGAACCTCCATCTTCAGATACAGCAGTGTTTCTCAACCTTGGGAACTTTAAGATGGGTGGACTTCAACTCCCAGAATGCCCCAGCCAGCATGG